AACAAAAAAAAAATCCAAACTTTATTTTTCAATCATTAGTTTGATTTTCTTGCAAACTCTAGGGCTTTAAATAAGATATATTTTTTCTCAAAAGCAAATAACTTTTAAATCCAAGTATTTTCAACGAGACTATTATTTTCAGAGATTGCTTTTTGTTGTATTTCTAATTAAAATAATGCACTCAAACAATACGAGTATTTAAATTAAATGCATTTTATTTTATTAAAACTTTCTCTCACTAGTAGTGGTAATCAGGAAAACAAACCCATAAAACAATGCAAAACATAAAATACTTTATCGTTTAAATTTTATATACAGTATTATATTGAGATCGCAATACAATTTAATTAACAAATTCACTGAAAATATGGTAATTTTATAAATCAAAAAACAATTCGGGAAATATTTATCAAAACATTTAATGAATACTTATTGTGTTTTAATCAATAAAAAACACAACCATTTGGTATCAATTCAGTCAAAACAATATTTAAACATTAAATATAAGTCACAAGAAATACAACTTATAATCAAAAATTAAATCAATATTTAAAAAAACTAAAGAAACACACACACACACACACACACACACACACACAAAGCAAATAAATTCAAAAATACAAAACTTGGTTAAAAGTAATCAAATGATCAATGATTTTGTATTTTGACAAGGTTATGTATTTTAAGATTCATTTAAGATTTATGAGAAAGTAAAAATATTTTGATTATAATATTAAATTATAATATTTAGGATTTTAGTTATACTGCAGTTTTTAAACTAATTTGCAAATCATAGCGCCTTTAGATAATGACCAATAAACAAAATATGCTAGGTTGTAATGAAATAATGTTTGAACAAGCTTCACTACACTTTTCATTTTAACTTATATTTTTTAAATGTCTGTCTAATCATACAATTCTCGTCGGAATCAATATATAAATCTCAAGTGAATTGTTGTTATTATTATTATATATTTTTTGGTGGATTTAATGTTAAGTCCAAATGTAATTGGAGTTAAGAATCAAATTTTTAGGTCAATAACTGTTTCGTTTATGTTTTCACTTTATATAAGTTATTTAGCCAACGGGTAGGGGATTCCCATTAGGCCAATGACCAGGGTATAACACTGGTATGTATTAAAAATTTATATATTGGACATAAACTTCACATAAATTGATTGAAAATAAATAAATTCCTTTTAATAATAGGAAAAGTGTCGTTAAATTAATCACTAAATAAAATACTGTTGAGATTTTCATATAATGAGCACAAAAAAACATCCGTTGACTTAACAGAGATATGAAGTGAAGTATTTATCAATTGATTGGTCCGAGAATTTCAGACAATATCTAACAAGAAGTTATTTCACCGTATGTTTAGTGTGTTTACTATTAGACACATGAAGTTTGCTGTAGATATTTCTGGTGGTAAACAATTTAAGCCAAAACTAAAGTGAATTTATATATAATTTTTCTCTGTATTAAGTAAATGAAAAAAAATTGATAAAATTTTTTGTGGCAATATTTTTCTGGTTATAATGTTTACTCTAGTGATGAATAACCCCTCGATATATACCAATACAATACACAATAAGACATGACTTATCTTCAAATTGAGGACTTATTTCTCTCGCAATATATGTTTTTTGTGTGTTTGAAATGCCAGTAATAATACCATAGTATGCATTGTAGTGAACGCTAAAAAACCTGTTTTGAAGTTTTATATGATTTTCATTTTTACAATACTGTAGTAATTCGTGACTCGTTTTCGCAAATTATTTATTTTTAATATTATTCCTAAAAATATATCATATTTTAAAAATAATTCAAAGATGAGTTTATCTCTAAATATAAACGCTTAACAAATCCCGTTTCAAAGACACACATCATTTTATAGTGAATTATACAGAAAAACATCATTGCATATAAAATATTGTACACTTTAAATATACTGTATATTTAAATCTGTGTCGAGACTTAAGTTAAGCCGAAAAACTTATATTCAAATCATAAATAGATTTAAACGAAAGAAAATATAAAAAGTGCTGAAAGAAATGGAGAGAAAAAAATTAAAGTCAAATAAAATGAAAAACATTTGAAATGACAGACAAAAGACCTGTTTTATACGATCATTGATTTATTACGTGATTCGCAGCAATAATATATTAGGACAACAAAAAAAGTATATATTATATAAAGTTGAAACCTATTGAATTGTGAACAGAAAGGAGAGACAGTTGAGAGAGAGAGAGAGAGAGAGAGAGAGAGATTTGTATTGCAAAAGTCTGAGTATACAATGCATTAGGAGATTGTTTGCTCGCAAACGCTAACAAAAGTCCCAATAATTAAGATATAAGTGATGTTATGTTATGTTTATCTCCGTCTATATCATTATATTCACAATACATAGTGAGTAACGTATGTGTATGTGTTGTGTGTTTATCTATATATACAGTATGTATGCATTCTTGCATTGAGTAAAACACACAGAATATTCTTACCTTTTAAACGAGTCAGTGATTCCTGTATTATAGCTTTTGGGCCCAAATTGCAGTACAAATGGATGTTTGAAAACAATAGAGTGTCATCTCATCTGCAGAAGTGCTCTCACGATATCTAATCCAATGGTCGGATGAGAGCACACATACGGATCGCGTCCTCCACTCCTATAATAGGCTTTGCATTGCATATGAAATCCATATTCACTTTAAGTGGCACTTGATTTTAGACGTTATGTTTGCATACAATTTGCACACATTGTATGATACAATTGCCGGACATAACATAGTATCTGATATATTGTTTTATAATTAAACTTTATGTGATATTTATTTCCATAAATAAAAAATTATGTGCGTTTAGATTTGAAAAATGCTGTAATTAAAATTTAATTTTGATATAAATAAATAATGTTTGCATATAAAATGTAATTTACTTTTATAAAAAATTTAATTATCTATGGGAAAAATAATAAATATTTTAGTAACTACTAATAGATTTTATAATCATTTCAAGAAACTAATTTTGTTTATTATATAAAATAAATTAAAGTCAGTCGTCCGGCGCTCTAATGAAGGCTCAGTTTAAGTCACAAATTGATCCCAAATTACGGCTAAAACTAATGAATTGCTTCGAGAGAGTGAACACCGATAAGAAAGTGTTGGGGTTTGCCATTCAAGTATTTTTTACCATGACTTACCCGGCGCTCTATCGAGTGAGTGTTACCACGTGTTTTATTTTAGTTTTGTGTAAATTCAGTTCATTTAGCAATTAGTACAATGTAATATTAATTTATAATAATTATTACATAATTGTGCTAACCATTTACATATCTATAAAGTGTATTTATATTCTGTATTATTAATTGCTTTATTTTTGTCAATTAACAGTTAGTGGTAATGTACGTACGATATTTCATCCTGGTCAATAAAATGGGTCGTAATTCTCTACCAGTTTATTAATGTTAAACCAATTGGTCTTAATCACACAATTATGAGTGCTGTGCTAATTGGTCGATGATGATAATTAAATTATCAATAAATAATACAATTACAATAAATTAGTTTTAAATATTTAACACTATATACCTGTAGAATAAATCTTAATTAAATTTAAATAATATTAATAATTAAAATGCAATTTTTAAAACAATTTTATTTATATTAGATTAAATTAATTAAGCAATTATAACCACCAATGAATCTCGATAAATAATTTCGTTAATTAATATAAAGTGTATTTTATCATTGAGGTAATGATCAACCAATGAATAAATATAAAGTTGGAATATAAACTTTACAAAAAATTACAACTATGGTACTTTAACTAAAAACTAATTCAAAGTAATTTTATTATAAATAACAAGTAAATGAAATTCAATGCACTTATAATGCATTTCTAGCGCTAAAGATGTCGTTATGTAAGAGAATATTCTCTTATCTAAAACAACACGTTTTAGACACACAATAGTAAATGCATAGTATATTTAGGTTAACTTTTCCTGCTGGTGAAATACTGCAATAACTCACACTTCAAACACACCATGTAGTTATATTAATAGTTAGGCAGCACTGGCAATTCACCTTAATTAAACGTAACACATATACAAATGCCGCTCAAACGTAACCAATTTTACATTTATATTATTGGAAATTTATAATTAATTTTTAGTGTTTTTGCAAATTATGCTTTTTTATAGGAAATTAAATATTAATTTTCTAATTAACAAATAATGTAAGAAATATATCGAGAGTCGACTGTAAATATTATTGTGTAATAAACTCGTGCCGTATATTGCAGTGTGTTTTCAGTCTATCGTTGATAATAAACTGTTGCCTAAAAATAAACTTTTTTGTTGTGAATGTGTTTCTCGTGAATGACTTACAAATGCATTGAAAAATATTAGTTTTGTTTGCGTTTATAAACTGTAAATATTTCCTTCAAAACGTCTATACATTATAACTACAAATACAATGTACTCTCGTTATAGTGAACACGCGTGACAATTAACTAGCAAATTTAATTAATTTTGTGTTTATTATATTAGTAAAAATAATTATATTAAACGAGTATTAAAAACATATTGTGTTAACACATATGGTGTACAGAACATGATAAAATAGCCTAATGTTACCATGATCGATATGTAAATGTACAGTGAGTTCACTATAACGAGTGGTGTAGAGGTGTGTAAACACAGACTGACTGTTGAATACACCGGTAGTAGTGATCAGTGTTTATGAGTTGTGGACACAATTGGCTGTAAAACTCATTAATTAATTATTAGTTTTGTTTTTGATGAACGCATAAATCAATTGTGAGTTAAATCGATGTCTGTTTGAAATGAATTGATTGTGTCTTTCGTTTGGATTATAATTTGCATTGAATTTAATATTTATTTATTTTTCATATGAATTACAACTGTATTGAAGCCAAACATTGTTAAAGGTTTGTGTGATTTGTTTGTTAATTATGGTTAATATTAATAAAACAAATACATTATGGTTAGTAAATAAAGTGAGCATAATACATTTAGTTGATCTAGTAAATAGTCTTAGTTGACTAAATTAAGCTACATTATTTACAGTAACATTTACCAACACAAATAAATTATAAATTGCATGTTAACCATGTTTGGTGTAAAAATTAAAAGTGAACTAGCACAAATTATACAAATATTAATTGTTTTTTTTGTGGTGATAACACCAAATAGTTATCAAAGTTCGTGAGCGCGAGGGGTCGATGGACGGCAGGGATGGCCAGCGCCAGGAGGAGGCGAGCGGAGGCGCCGCCGGCGGGAGTGGGAGTAACGCCGCAATACCGGTGCGATTGTCGCTGAAGGAGAGGTTCATGAAAATGATTTACTCTAAGGAAGAATTTGAAGCCTATATGATCGCCAAGAGTCGCAAACGGCAGCAAAAAGAGACCACAAAGTGATCCTTATGATAGTCATGTGGTCATCCTATTCTTGTAGATATACCTCAAACTCTCCCTAAACTTATTTTGTGTTTAATTTATTAATTATTTGTGTGTTTTTTGAATTCAATTATCAGACGAAACGTGTGTTTCTTTAGTTTTTTTAAATATTGATTTAATTTTTGATTATAAGTTGTATTTCTTGTGACTTATATTTAATGTTTAAATATTGTTTTGACTGAATTGATACCAAATGGTTGTGTTTTTTATTGATTAAAACACAATAAGTATTCATTAAATGTTTTGATAAATATTTCCCGAATTGTTTTTTGATTTATAAAATTACCATATTTTCAGTGAATTTGTTAATTAAATTGTATTGCGATCTCAATATAATACTGTATATAAAATTTAAACGATAAAGTATTTTATGTTTTGCATTGTTTTATGGGTTTGTTTTCCTGATTACCACTACTAGTGAGAGAAAGTTTTAATAAAATAAAATGCATTTAATTTAAATACTCGTATTGTTTGAGTGCATTATTTTAATTAGAAATACAACAAAAAGCAATCTCTGAA